TGTGTTTTATTAATTATAAATAATTTTATTTTTAATATATATATATATATATATTTGTATATATATATGAATTTATATGTATATATTAATTTAAATATATGTAGATGAATATTTGGATATTTAATAATATTTTTGAATGATGAGTGAGCAGTTTTTTGCTGAGTCAACAGTTTTTTTTTGTGAGTCAACAGTTTTTTGTTGAGTCAGCAGTTGCGTTTGTTTGATTTGGAAAAAATTTAAAAGTCTGGGTATTTATGTGGGAGTTTTGAAAAGTTTAGGTATTTATATGATAATTTTATAGTTCGGATATTTATTTGGGATTTTTGTAAAAGTTCGGGTATTTTTATGTGATTACCCCTATATATATATGTATGTATTGTTTGTAACGGGTTAAGTCAGAAATAAAGTGTGTGAACATGCTAGTCTAGTTATCACCTTATATATCTTATTTTTTGGATATTTGTAATAATAAAATAAAATTTATTTTATATGTTTATTTTGATTTGTGAAATTATTATCATCTCAAGCAATATTCTTCACTTATATCTATCGCAGTATTTGTTATTTTAAAAATGTATAAACTCATCACTAGTAGAATCGATCGAGGTTGGAAGTGAAATATGAAAATATTAATGAGATTGAGATAGAATTTTTAAAAAAGAAATATCGTTAACCTTATAGCGTTCCGATTTTTAAATGTTTGAATTCGGCTATCTATGGTACCCGAATACATATTTCGGTTGTAAATATCTTTACCGAACCAGAACCGGAACCGAAACCGAAACCGAAACTAAAACCGAATATAATATTATAGCCGATTGATATCTATTCTTGTAAAATCGAAAGAACCTAATCGAATCATTTCGGATCCGAACTCCAAACGTACATAAAATGTATCAACATGATACAAATGACGTTAGATATCCTATCTAAAACCCGTATGATCAGGCGGTTAGATATCCAAAACCTTCGGATCCGATTACTAGTAATAAAAAAACTAGGAGTGGACGTTTCGTTTCGCTCCCGAATCTCGATATTTTTTCCCAACCGTATCATTCAAAATTTCCGGACGATATGTTTGTTATAGAACCGAATTTTCCGAAAGCGAATTTAACGGAATCGAACCGAACTTTATAAAATTTCTGGAAAACCGAAATTTTCTTAAGAAAATCTAATTTTTTTTAACAAAAACCGAAACCTAACCGAACTGAATCGAACCGAATAATATACGGTACTAATTTGGTATAAATTTTAGAATATCGAATAAACCTTTCTCAGATCGAACCGTTAAAATTTTGAACGGAATTGTTAGGGGTGTCAAAAAAGTCCGAGGCTCGATACCCGACCCGAACCCGTCCGTAAAATTTACGGGCTCGGGCTTCACAAATCAAGACCCGTTCGTTTTTCGGGTCGGGCCGACCCGGCCCGTAAATATCCGGGCTTGTATCGGGCCGGCCCAACCCGGTCATTTTGAGACCCCTAATCGTGAAACGCTCGCCCACAACGAAATTGTTAATGCAAATATCATGTTCTGCAAAATTATTAGCAACGAACTCCGACGTTTTCTTCCAAAACGGAATACGAAATTTAAAAATTTGTATTACATAATCGTTTCTAAATTAGTAACGAGACATTGGTTTGCCCACATTTATCAATACGTCAACAACATAATTTCATTGTTTAATAAAATCCGTAAACTAAACAGATAAAAAAGCACGTGCCCAATTCGAATCTTTGCTACTTTGAAGTCTTAATTTAAAAAAAAAAGAATTCCATATTTGTAAAAAATTAGAAAGTCTGAAAGTGTTACTAAATAGATTTAATAAATTCCAAAATGAGAAGAGAATGGATATAGATGGTTTCAATGAATGAATGAAATAAAATAAAGTTTTGACAAAGAAAATAAAATAAAATAAAGTCCAAAAAAAAAGTCATGTAATGGCCCATTTCAAGGCCCATGGAGCAAATAATTTATAAACAAAAACCGAATTTTCTAATGATTTCATTAATTATGACATCAAATTCTCGATTTTCCTTGAAATAAACATTTAGTTGTATCTAAAAACAAATTTAATTGAGAATTCGATTACATACATCTTTTTTAAAAATCAAATTTACCAAAATGAACAGTAAAATAATTGGAAAAAATATATAATGACCACAAATTTTTTATTTATTTCAATAATTCAGCATCGAAATAAAAATAAACTATAGATATACAAATCAAAATCGAATAAATATAATTTATAAAATTCAAACTTAAAAAAATCGAGTCGTCACAACAGCAAGCAAACGTATGTATGTATGTATGTATGTATGTATGTATGTATGTATGTATGTATGTATGTATGTATGTATGTATGTATGTATGTATGTATCGTCAATCTGTTCACATTGATGTATTCGACTTATATGGCACACAAATGGTAGGTTGCAGAAGATCCATACCGTTTTGACGGATAATGTTTTCATAACCTCATAATATTCACATTCCCCATACAACAGTACGTACATATGTAAATATATATATATATATATATATATTTTTTTAGAGGTCCTCCGTTATCTCCGGTCTGGGAGCAGCCTTTGTATATGGATCATATAAATCCAGAAATTACCTCCCTCCCCACCAGTCAATACTCAACCTCAAGGTGGAGTTATCTCATACCACAAACTTGACCACTCGCTCACGATCTGTTGGGTTATATATCCACCTTGATTCACTAATTTTTTGAATTAAATTAGGTGACTCCCGATTAAAAACAAATATAATATTATTTATTTATATTATGATAAATACCAAACGAAATAATATTTTAATATAAAATTTAAATATTAAAATATCATTTAAAATATATAAAAGAATCATACATATATGTATAATCGATAAAAAAAATAAAATTAATTTCTACAAAATATATAAAAATATAAAAAACATATATAATCTAAGTTTGTTTCCAAACGAATTTTTAAAATACTAATTCGGCTCCCTAAAAACGAGTCGGTAATGAAACACCTTGCGAGTTAAACTCGTTTTTTACATCTATATATATATATATATATATGTGCCGAAAAAAACTAATTTTTATATAGCAAATAACTATATAGCTTTCAAAACACACATTTTCCTAGAAATTGTTAGGTTAATAAAGTAGAAGTAAATTGTAAATAACTAAAAAAAATAAAATTGAAGTATATATGGATTTTCCGAAATTCCGGAAATCAACTAGTGGAATAAAAGTCCAAATACAACGTTGAAAAATAATTAAAAATTATAAATCCCTATTTTTTTTTCTTGTCACGTAACGACGTGGAAAAAAACAAGAAGAAGAAGAGGTAGCTAGCTAGCATGCAATAGCGAGAAAGCGAGTGCATGGACTTCAGTGAGTCGATATATACATACACACATATATATACAATATATACATATTATATATATATATATATTTGTGTATATATATAAATAAAAGCAGATCCTGTATCAACAAAGAAACAACGCCCGAAGTAAAAAAGATCGGACAAAACACAGAAACACAACTAACACTTACACTTACACACACACAAGTCGTTGATGGATTCAACGCATAGAATAGAACTGTAAAAAGACAAAACAGTGAAATTAAATTAAGTCAGGGAATAATAACATTGACAGTAGCGGTGGCGATGAACATCAAAAGGAGGATATAGATACATTAGAAATTTTAAATGTGGATATATATATATATATATATATAATAAGATAATTTATTTCAAATCCAAGGGGGGAAATTCTTACATAGATTCGGCTTTAGATTACACAGACCAAATTTCGCTAATGGCAAGTAATTAGGGTCTGCATGACAAATTAACCAGATCTACGTAAGAATTCCCGCCCTTCATGATCTTCCTAATTCAGGGTGCAAAGGGAAAAGCTCTAGGGTTATTACATTGTTAATGATTTTATTATTATTGTAATTATTATAATTATTATTACAAGGGCTTGTCTTGCTCTCGGTTTCCACGTTCCAGCTCCTACATGTCCTCTTGTATGGACTGTCCTCTAAACCCTTCTCCACCACTTGTTCTCTCTGCAGCAAAAAACACAAGAAATTTCAAACCCTAATATCAAATAATCATAATTAAGGATACTAATTTTGAGGTATTACCCTAATATTAATATTAAATAATTATAAATTTGAAGCATTACTCTAATATTATTGTCTAGCGACAATGTAGTGGGGGTTGTCATGTTAGAGACGACAGGCTTGGGACTTTGGCCGCTTAGGCTGAGGCTGTTCCTCTTCTGCTTCTGCCTCTCCCTCGCTTTGTGGTTTTGGAACCAGTAGAACACGTTCTTGCCCTCGATCTTACCGTACTTCCCGAGCTGAGCGGTGATCTGTTCGATCTGCTGAGCGTTCGGTGTTCGCATTCCTCCTTTGTACAACATCTCGAGAATTCCGATCTGTTCTTGGGTCGGGTTCCACCTGGTCCCGCCCGGGTGAGTCTCCACCTATACACACACACACACACCATATATTCATAAATATAGATTCTTTTACTATATGCTTTTACATTTACCTTTTGTTACATTAATTAGAGATTTCACAAGGTCACCAAAACACAAGAAACACCCAATTATTGTAAACTAAGTAACATTTAGAATTACAAAACACATATACTATGAGAACATGCATACAACATACATATATATATGTATATAGTACAATGTATAGGGTGAAGACCTGAGGTGGGTCTCTCTTGTTATCATCGGTGAGGGTACTTCTCGGGCGGTTTTCGGGCCGGATGAAGCTTTTGAGGTCGAAAGCAGTGGCGGAGGAGGAGGAGGAAGGAGAAGAGGGCGAGAGCTTGGGGGCGAGAGGGCGGAGACGCTTGCAGCTGAGGCTGAGGGACGGTTGTGAATGGTCATGGTGAGTCTGGTTATTATCCCATGAGGACAGTCCACGTGACAAGTGATGCACCTTCATGCTTCCCATATGATGTGCGTATGGTGATTTCACAACATGGGTCGTGTGTGTATATATATATATGTAGAAGTGTATGTATATGTGTGTGTGTGTTAAAATGATAATGTGTAATGTGTATGGTAATTGGTGTGAGAAATGATTTGGAAAGTGGGACGTTGAGAACCAAAGACCAAATGATGAGATGAGGTTGACTTTTGTCTATTTTTTTACCTTTTTTTAAATTTTAAAGCAAATTTTATAAAAGAAAGGTGGGAAAAAAATTACATCAAATTGTCTTCCGTATCGATATTGAGATATGTGTGCGTGTATGGTATATATATATGCATGCGTACACATATCTCTAATATATATATATATATATATATATATATATAAGGAATAAAGTATTTGAAATATCTGACAATATATATATATATATATATATCTAATTTAGCAAACTATTTTTTATAAAAATTAATACTAAACTTCTTTTAAATTAAAATATAATATAAAATCGAATCTAGAATAAACTAATTAAGATCTAATCCGAATTATTTAGGGGGTTTATTTTCCTTTGGAACATTTTTGTAAGATTTGGAAAAAATAAATTAGTATCATCATTAAAACAAAATTTGTGGCTTTAATGATAAGATGTCTAATGCTTTTCGGTGGCTCTCTATAGCTTTATTTTGGAAAAAGTGGGAAGAGACATGAATGCGAGGATTTTTTTTTTAAAAAGGAAAAAATTCCTCCAATCCCAAGACTAGAAATTGCTTTTACAATATATATATATATA